AATTGGTCTTACGGGTCTCACGAAAAACTTTTGGTCTCACATGATCCCAAGTCTCTCTCTATATATATAGGGTCAGGTTCAGACAAAACCACAAAGAAAATGAAAAACAGAGGAACGCTCTAGTAACTATTCATCTGGATGGTATGAACATATGTATACAAGTAATTTGTAAGTAATTTATCGGGTATGCACATGTGCATAACATGCACACGTACATAGAAGCCAAGAAACAAATTCAATTACTTGCAAGCACGAATGCATCTCAGTTTTCATTTTTTAGATTTTCAACTAAACCTCCCTCTCTCTCTCTCTCTCTCTCTCTCTCTATATATATATATATATATGTATATATATAGATAGATATACTGGTTCGATGGTTCGTATCAAGTGAGACGATCATATTATACCTAATGGAAAGATGCATCTTGAAAACCCAAAGCAGATTGCAACTTCTCTCATTTACAGTGAAGCTCAATCTCACTGAGCCAAACAAAATCATTTGATACAAAACCGATTTGACAAACGATGAAACGGCACTAAATTAAATTCAGAAAATAAAAAACCCAGATTAAAACATGAATCGATCGCTCCAAAAACACTAAATTCATTCAGAAATGCGATCATTGACAGATATTTACCTGCAATTTCCGAGAGGGTTTCTACAGGATTCGAGGTTTTATGAAATGAAGTGGAGAATTGAAACTAATTACTACCAAAAACACATAAAGCTTTACTAAAAGAAAAAGAATGGATACGATGGGAAAGCGATTAAATAGAATTCAATACCGAAACAGATTGGGAGGATCAGAAGGAAAATGTGGTACCTGAAATAAGTTATGGAAGAAAAGATCCGAATTAAAAGGAATCTAGAAGAGGACTAGTTCCTCTTCCCATACAGATACGGAGATTTTGGAGAGGGTTAACAATGGAGAATGAAGCTATTTACAGAAGTTTTCAGCTTGGGGCGGGAAAGAAGGGATTCTGGCTGGGAGATTCCACCACCCTCCTAACAATAGAGGGTTACTACTTATTATAATACTATTTACCTTTCTACAACCAAAACAACTCAATTTCAATCATACATTTAATTTGATATATATGTGATTTCATAGAAATTTTGATTATTTCATAATATAAACTATTAATCATAATTAATAAATATATTCATCTTCCATAAATATTTAAATCATAATAAATAAGATCTCATCATTTTCATAAATATCGCAATTTATTGAATTGCATTGAATCATACAAATGTAATAGGTTACATTTGAAACTAACTCTAACGATATATCGTTCCTTCCAACACTAGTTTCTGACCAAATTGATTAAAACATTAAAGTGAAAAAATAAATTTAATTTAAAATTTTAATTTTTGAAAAAAATAAAAATTATAAGTCTAAACAAATGAAGGATTGTGTGGAAATAAAAGTTAAGATGAGAAGATAAGAAAGATCTGAACCCTTAATTCCTTTTATCGATCTTTTTTGCCTTTTACCCAATCAAAACGACAATGACCAACGTCATAAAATCGATTTTGATTGGGTAAAAGACAAAAAAATGGATAAAATGATGAAAATACCTCTTATTTAACGAGATTTTTAGTGACTCATAGATGGAGGGACTAAATCCAGATTTTTTTTATAAACCACGATAATCATCTTGTAATTTCAAAACAATATATAATGCTAAAACTTTAATCAACCAGATTCTAATTGTTCCACCCATGTAGGTCATGCTTTCAATCAGAAAATTCAACAAACCACAACTCTTAGATGACATTTGGTTGACAGAGTGTTTTTGCATGGAATGAAATCTGTTATAGAAATTCAAATATGTTCATTTGGTTCACATAATGTAGCTTAGAATTGAAATGAAATGCTGATAAATGATCAAAATAATATTTTCTCTTTTGAAATATTTGATGAATTCCATTCTTATTGAAGAATTCTACATGTATGTTATAGGCTATATTTTATACTTTGACTATGTTTGACAAACTAGCTGATGACTTATAAGCTAGCTGATGAACAAATTATGTTCAGTAACATCCTGAAATCTGGATAGAGCGAGTAAATGATTTTTTTTTTTCATAATACAACAAATATAGGGGAAATCATTTTTACATTGTTCGATGTTTGAATTACCTTAAATATCAAATTTAAAATCATTATCAACAAAAGATAGACAAAGTCTTACATAAAGACTAAATTAAGGTCAGGTGTTACTGTAACTCATCCAAAGGTGGAAGGCGTCAATAATAAGCTAAAACCTTCTCAAGCAATTATCTAGCACTCATCTCATCACTGTGTCGCTAGTACCATTTCCCATGGACCTGATGCACATGCCGACAAATGAAAAAGGTTAGGCTTAACATCTAGTGAGTTCAAGCAGTTTTCATCATAAATAACTAACGGTAAAAATTGAACGACTCCTCATTGAATGTAATTTATCAACTGAAACGTCTTTATCATAAAAGAAATACCTTTCCAAAAAACCCAACATTTTCTTGATGAAAACTCGTTAATCGAAATACCCAATTATACGCAGCCAAAACTCAATACTCCCAGGACCAAGAATAAAAGGTATAAAACATTAAAACGGGAAACATAGTTTTAATCAAGCCTTAAAAACAATTAGTCCACGCTTACCCTTGGAAGGGTATATAACATTCGAAGATGATGATGAAGACCCGATTTATCATTCGTTGTTAGGGAACACATAAGTAAGCCACAAACTAATGTTATTAGCTGCATCATTTTAGGTATAAAACCATTGACATTAACCTAAATCAGTCATTTGGTCAATTGCGATCGAAAGCTCGTTCACTTGGAAATTACATAATAATCACAATGGCTATTTCCAAGCTATAGTAAGAAATGAATTGGAAATTACACAATAATCACATTCGTTTCGATAATTCTTAATTAATTTTAATTACTATGATTTAATATTTATGAATAATTAATAGTTAATATTTATTATTAATAATAATAACAAATAATATTAATCAAAATTATAATTGAAAAAAGTGTCAAAAAAACTCCTAAAAACTACTACAAGTAGCTTATCAATAAACGAGCTGTAATTAAAAAAAAGTGTCAAAAAACTCCTCAAAACTACTCCAAGTAGCTTATCAGTAAGCTACCTTATAAGCCAATTTATGTGCATCCAAACAATTACTCAAAAAATAAGTTAGCTTACGTTTGTCAAACAATGCCTTTTTATTTGTTATTTAATCACCATCTCATTCCATCAAAATACCAAATGTTCAAATCCATTGTTTGTTGGATCTTAAAGATTTCTTCCCTAAAAATAATGAACCAAACAAAGGGAATCAAATTTGATCAAAGGAATTCAACATTTCAATTCCATCAGATTCCTCCAGAATATGCGAACCAAACGTCACCTCAGCGAATTACACTTGATGCTTTGTAAATGTTGTAATTTTTAAATATAACTTCTAAAAAAGGTTTCACATAGAAATACAAGAAAAGCATACATAACAAATGGTGATTTCATTACTCCACCATTTCATGGGCCAATCTGCATATTAACCGGAACTTATTTCTAGCATCTAGCGTCAGTAACATGTAGTTGCCATGGCCTCTAAAGGTCTTAAATCTCTAGAAAATACATTACACATTTGCAAACAAATAATAAGCTTCCCATAAAAAGGACCGAAAAACAACATTTGGATACAAACAAATCAAACGATATCTATATATACAACATTCGTAACAAACATACTTGCCCCCCATCTTCTCCTACAAGTTGACCGGCGCGCTTCCCTGATTTTTGGCATGCAAAGACGGAAAAATTAGTTTCTCAAACTTCGGGAATCGAATTGATTGGAAAATCCGATAGATATCATAACGTCGGTAAATCAAGATTTAAACAAGTCCCATTTTGGCATGATGTGTGACAAGGTGGGACAAAAACCTATTATCGTGGGATAAAACTAGAGTTTTTTGTTCCACCCAAAAAGATAAACCATCGGACAAAAACACAAAATTACTATTTTACCCATCTAACATAACAATTTAAAATTACTATATTAATTGTAATTTTAAATTATATAATATTTATATGTGTGTATATAAGATGTGGCTTAATCATTTGAGAACTCCATATACTATGATAACCATGAGGCTACCATTTAATGTGTTCATCGACATATATTTGTTTAACAATGTGTTTGCTTCATATGTATTCGGTTTACAATGTGAAACTTTTTTAAGTGTAACTTTTGTTTCACAAAAATACTAACAAGGTTCACATTGTGAAACAAATATATGCTAATCAATATTCTAGATCCTAGTCTTAGATGGAAAAAATCATATCAAAGATCACAATGATGCACTATCACAATTTCATGAATCATGGGTTCTCAAAAGGTCCCCTATATGATATTATATTATAAATTATATATATATATATATATATATATATATATATATATATATAAAGAGAGGAAGGATCATTCAAGAAGTTAAACATTTTGCAAGAAAGCTAGAAGTTTCAATATCATATATGATTACACTCCTTTAGTGTATTTAATCATATATGATTAAGTGTCTATATGTTGTCAATGCAACATGTGTTTAAATCATATATGATTAAGCTTATATATTATGCGTGTAATCATGTATGATATTGAAACTTTTCATCTTCTCGTAAAATGTTTATCTTCTCGTTTGAACCCGTCCCTATATATACAATTTTACTTTCATATGTAAATTATTTAAACAACAGTCTAGGAGCAATCTGATCATTTTAATAGTTTTGTACAGGCCTATTTTAGTCGTACCAACCACATGACAAACAATTAGTCCTGCCCCGTCCAATTTAATCTTGTCCCTTTCACTCCCATCTAGTCTGCGTACCAAACGCTACCTAAATAACTAAATATGCCAAACTATTTTGACCAGATACACGGGCTTTCGGAGAGAAAATACACTACATGAAAAGTTATTATGGCTTTTATCTCTAAAGCCACCCCTCAATTACACTCACGCTCTCCAAAGATTTTACTTACCTTTCTACACTTTTTTTAAGTATATAATATTTATACATGGCAAATGCAACAAATAAACTCACACAACCTCCTCACATTTAGTGAGATTTGAAACCCCGATCTCCTAGGAGGTCAAAGACTACAATACTGCTAGGCTAAAGATCATTTGGTACCTCTCTACACTTTATAGCAAAGGAACAAGAATTAAATATTTAAATGACTACAAAAGATCAAAATCTTACCTTAAAAAGCAGATCATAAGCAATATGTTCCCAAGGAAGTGATATGGACATGAGGCAGCATTTGAGTGGGACCATCCCTCCATCTGAATTCCGATTTGAGGAAGCAGCGGCATATGCGTTTTTTGCAGCCACCTGAGCCACAGATGCAGCTTTGCGAACCAATGCACCGAACTTATTTCCTCCTTGCGATGATGTATTGAGGGATGAGTGAGGGCCAGATTCATCTAGGCTCCTATCTGAAATAGCATCACCAACCTTAAAATCATAAAGACTCCTGTTTAAGCATATTATGCCCATTGGCCAGGTTCAAATGAGAACCGTAAATATTTTAAGAACCAGGAACCAACTGTTCATACTTCATTCATAATGAATGTCGTGATAGATATTCATGATGAACACTATTCATAATGAAGATACGTGATATTCATGATGAAAATAAGGGTTATTCATCATCATGCATAATGCATAATAGTTGGTTCAGGTTCTCCAAATATTTATAATTCTCATTAGAACTTTCCTTCATGCCCGTTACTCTTAAATCGTATACCTACAACGCCAGAAACCGCCACCTCAACTTCCCCACGACCTCCAGGACCTTTCATGTATATCCTGTCTGTTTTGCCAGAAGAATGACCAAATGGCAATAAGCTTTCGAATCCAGACTTCCCAGCTGTAACAATTCACAAATGAAGAAAATAAAAAAGTAGCATATAGTTGATATCGTTCAATCCATATTTCACGGTCCTAGAAGTTGTTCAATGTAAATTTAGGTACATCTAGACCATATAAACATATTTACCATCATAAGCTTCACGAACCATTTGGTAGCTGACGAATCCCGAGAAAAGAGTAAGCTGTAATCACAAGTTACAAACCTGTTATAACAACAGGCAAGTCCAAGTGCACATTCTCACTATAATTTAGAGCAATTTGAGGCTCTAAAGTGGATTTATGAATGAAACCCAATTCATATTTTTATTGTATATCCACTAAATCATGGGTTTAACCCCTCTTTACCTATAGTATTCTGAAATGCTATAAAAACTGTACTATTGGTTAGCTTCTAATGGTCCGTTGTTATTGTAAATCAGATCATGACGAAGAATTTGGTAACTATAAAAGTATATGAAGAAAAGAAAAACAACCCCAAACCTTCGTTTTATTAGTTTTTCCGGCATCCACATTATGTTTCGGACTGGAATTTTCACTAGAATTATCATCTTGTAGTGGCTTTTCTCTGGGAAATGCTGCCCCACCGACCGCATTTAGAAGTACACAGTAGCAGTGATCTGTATCGGTCAAAACCTGAAAACAGAAGAACTTGCTATCACATATTGTTCCAAAATAAGTGTCCATTTCCAAACATAAGTGCCTACTTTTCAACTCTACCCCGAAGTAATTCATTACTCCCTCTATTATTTAAAGGTAAAATTTTCATTTATTTGATTAAAGATGTGATAATTAGACATTTCTAAACATGTGTGCCTTTTTCATTGTGGACATTTAATTTAGGATGAAGGAACAAATAGATATTGCTCACCCTCATAGCTAAGTGAAGCCAGGTCAGCACTAATCACTCACCGAGTAAGAGTCCGTCAGTTTACCAGGTCAGTATCATGGACCGGTAAGAGGGGCTTCATAAACGACATCATCTCTGACAGGGTAAGAACCTCTTACCCGGTAAGAGGCGGTAAGCAGGTAGTAAACAACCCCTTAGTTCATGTCATCCATCATCATGTGTTATATGCAACTGGGAGTGCATATTGCACACACAGTGGCGGCAACCATCCTTTTAGGAATAGAAGATTCAGCATTTAATCCCCCTTTCCAGATATGCATAAATGTATGTACATATGCATATAGGGTTACCATTCCAAGGGGCCGTTTACCAAATACTTGCTCGGGTAAGCGCTTACAAGTTACAAAGTCATATTCCCTTACCGGATGGATATGGCAAGGACCGAGAATCTTACCCGGTAAGTGACAACGACGACTCTTACCACGGTTAGCGCTTACCGGGTAAATTGTTACATACGATGTCGTATTGGTAGACTAAAATCTTACCTGGTAAGTAAGCGATAGAGTTGAATTTTACCGCTAAGCGCTTACCGGGTAAGTGTTAAGGTAGATGGCCCCTAAAAGGCCTCTTATAAGACACTGAAATGATTATAGATGGCCGGTTCCAATTACCGGTCCCGGGCCAGGCCTAAAAATTCCATAAAAAGTGTAACCAGTCCCTACCAATCCCAACCGGTCCCGGGCTGGGCCGGACCCAATTTGGCCATCTTTAGAAATGATCTCATTTTAGTTGCTTGTGGATAGCAATCATAGGTTGTGCTAATAAACTTACTACAGCATCAAAGGTAGAATCAAAGTCATCAACTGCAAAACATATCTCTGGATATGCAGGTTTTGTCTCTACTTCCTGCACACAGATAAATGACACCATTCCTTAATCATTCGTGAAATATAATCAAAGTTGAAAACAATAACAAAAAAACATGGAAGGTGATAAGATCATCTGCCTTTCTTGAGTCCAGGTGAAAATTAACACGGCTTGGAGATGCATAGACGGTTTTCACGATCTGAAGTGACATTCACAAAAACAGGCATAAGAGCATTTTCCAAATACGAAATACTTGGGATTATAAGTGGCCAGTAACAACTTCAAATTCCTACAAAGTTACTACAAAGAAGAAGTCAGAAATGATTTTAATAGAAGATCCATGTACAATGTGGAGAACTGAAAGTCTAGTGATGGAAGTTTAAATAGGAACCTGATATAAGGTAATCAAAGCATCTCCAATGGAGTGATTTATAAGAACCCACTTTTTGTATTTTTTTTCCTTGCCACATCATTGCCAACTCATTAAATTAAGAACCTCCATAAAACTTCACAATGGTAGTTGATTATAAGAACGTTGTAGTAGTCACGGTAATGGAGTCTTTAGAGATAAGACCCTTTTGCGGGTCCCATGTATTTTTGAACATCAATAATTATTACATCCTTATAATAATTACTAAATATAAATTTCACACAAGGTTCAAGATAAGAACCCTGTACTCCAAAAATGTGGGAGACTTGTAAGAACTCTCTCAAATGGTAGTGATTTAAGAACTACACTTTTAGCTTATATAACCTCCCATTGGAGATGCTCTATGATAGCCAAAGCTATAGACATAAATAATGATAATATTTGCATATTTGACATAAACAGTTTGCAGGAGAAAAAATTAAAAAAAGTTCATGAGGAACTCAGAAAATTTAAGGTGAAGGAAGCTTTGTTTAAGACATTTGAAATTAAAACCATGGTCATGCTCAGAAATAAGGATATACATGAGAAGGTTAATGTTCATAGATAAAATAAAAGTTGAATTTGTTGATGCAAGAGAAAAAAAAAAGTAGAAAGAAATAGGATGAAATTGAAGGCAAATAGACCAAGAAAAGAATGGATATTTAAGAATACTGGCAAACCATCTCTCATATTTGGCCAGAAATTTTACCTTGTATATAGGAGATAGTGGTGTTTGTTGGCTACTCTGATGATTCTGAAGGGATTGATGACTGAAGGAAAAACATGCTTTAGAAAGAAAATATATATACACATAATATTGCAGAAAGAGCCCAAAGAAATTTATTTTTTTCATGAAGAACCCATATGGTTGTTTTTGGGTTGTGAAATTTTATAAGTTGTTAGCGCTTCAGTTTTAGCCTACTCCAACTAGCTTGGATAGAAGATGTTTTGCTCTCCGACATTTTTGTATGAATAAATTCGTTGTAACATTCCAAAAGCAATACATACACACACACATATATTTAGGGGTCATTCATGTGAGAACCACAAAAAAGTTGAGAACCATGAGAACCTTAATATTCATTGATGCATATACACTAATTAATTAGTGAGTATATGCATCAATGCATATATACTTGCATACATAGTAGATATGTATTGATGAATACAGAATACATATTCTGATAGTATATATGCAACAATGAATATACGGGTTTTCAATTTTTTTGTGGTTCTCACATGCATCTGAGCGCGCACACACACACACATATATATATAAGAAAATATCTAGATTGAAAAGACTTGCTATCAAAGGCTATAATAAAATTGCGACAATCTAGTAGAAATCTTCATGAGGCAGCAGAAAACAACGTTAGAGGATATATCTTTGCAAGACCTCAATATGGTAGCGAATGTGATTTTTAGTGCTTATGCTACATAGCAGATTTGGGACATCTGGGCATAGTTGTCAAATTATGATTCATTATGGATCAAAAGACACTTGCATTTGTCAAAATGATTGTACATTAAGAAGCAAAAGTATATCTAACTAGTTGTGTACCCGCGCAATGCGGCGGGAGCCATGAATTTTAACGATTTTGAAGTTCCACTGGTTTTATAAGATAATGATATAGGTTACACTTGGTCTTTACATATTAATACAATTTGAATAAATAAGAGTTATGATTCCAATTACAGACTATCGATGAAAAAAATTGTATGACAGTTTAAAATCCAACATATTTAAACGACTCCACAAATATGTTCGATTTACACCAAGAGCAAAGAACCAAGAAACTTGAGTTTTAAGATAAACACTCAAAACCAATAAAGAAAACTACAAATTTGACAGATCATAAGCCATGAAAAGACCAAAAAAGATGGGTTTTAGAATGAAATTTCAACTGCTTACCCTCTTTCTTGTCCAGAAACTCAGATTAAGGTTAAATTAATACATGTATATATATATTTCAAAAAAACCCAAGAACATATTATACAGTGTAATTTGGACAGCCTAACCCCAAAATATATAGTATATATATAAATAAATAACTATAAAAGTATAAATCGTAAATATTAAAAATATTTTTTCACAGTATATATAATATATAATAATATAATTAAGTCAAAAACTATTAAATATTGGACTCATTTCGAAGGTATTAACGAGACGATTATAATGGTATAACTTGTTAAAATAAAAATGTATTTTTTGAACATGTTTTAATTGATATACGATTATGTATGTTAATTTGATAAAGGTTTAAGATGAAACATTTAAAAGCAAAGGACATAAAGTAAATTAATTAACTAATTATAGGGGTATAAAATGTAAATTTAAAATTATAATTTAAAAAAATCGGTTGTGAGAGGGTGAGTGTATGTGAAGGGGTGAGTGTATGTGAGGAGAGAAGGGGGTGAAAAAGTGACATAAGGGTAGTATAAAGGGTATCTTGGTTATTTAGTATTTTAAGACTTTAAGACTTTTGCTAAATTTGCTTAATAAGATAGTATAGATAATCAAGATTGTTTCTACTCTCGGTTATCAAATAACAAGATTACAAAAGAGGGTTTGTTAACACATAAAAAATTACACAAGGGAGTTCGGTCGTTATTCAACTTAAAGATAAAAAATGCCTTAAAACAATATTTTGAGCCATAATCGGGTTTCCCTTTGTAATTTATTATGCAGTTTCTCTTTGTTCGAAGAAAATAAAGTAAAAAGGCTGGTATTTTTTTGCTGCTCTCCCTTCTTGATCCCCTTCTTCAAGACTCTTCTATCAAATCTCTACTCAACCTTTTTTTGAAGTATTAAGCATATGATACATGGAAAAACTCACACACACTCCCACCTTTGGTGAGGTTTTAGCCCTTGACCTCCAGGGAGGTTGGGCTCTATCCGTAACCCGGATACCGCTGTGCCAATATTCAATCTTCATCACTAACAAGAAATTCTTTCTGGAGTTCAAATGGATAATTCTCGTCAAAATTACGAGAAGTGATGAAGAAAAGAGTAGGGAAACGAAAAAATAGCATAACATTAGCTTTAACCACTGCAAGGCTTAGAAGACACAGTGGAAACCCTCACAAAAGTCATGACCACAATACACTCAACAGACACGAACTTAGGAAGAAACTAGACTTAAAAGACCTATTTATTCATTTATACTCCTCAAATTTGATATCAACATATTCCATTTAATCTTTTAACTCCAAAACTTTACCATGGGAAAGCAAAAGGCAGAATTGAAATAAAAGTTATGATACCTCCATTTGGTGGGAGGTGCTATCCATATAGTTCAATGGCGACTTAGATTCTAATATATTTTTCCTAGTTTAATATATACTTGCAAAATTTTCCAGATATGACCATACAATTTCTGTAACTATTTGAAGTTAACAAGTAACATATTTGACAATCAAAAAGTTCTGAGATATCAACTCTTTCCATAAAAGAAGTAAAAAATTTACATCATCCAAAAAATGGAACAATTGAGTACAAAGCAACAGGTAGGGACTAGGGATGTGCATTATTCAGTTGAAACCAATTAAACAGGCAAGAAAGTTTGACCAAGTTGGGCCTACAATACTTGCCTTTTGGCCAATTACGGGAAATCGACAAACCAAGTTACTGGGTTCGGCTTAAGTTTTGGAGTGTCAGACCGGTAATTTGGCTGAACCAAACTGTTTATATTTAAATTATACTACTAACAGGTATAAGTGTATATCTGCAGTGTAACCAGTTAAAAGGATTCGTATGTCATGGAAAGGCCAGGGTTCAAAAAAAACCCTGCCCTTAATTCTTTTAATTTCTTTAGTTCTTTTATTCAAAAGAATCAAATTCAAAACCCTTAGCCCAGTTTCCCTAAGCAACCCTAATCGTATTTCACACTTCTACTACTATTAGTTGTTACTGTTTCCTTTTAGAAACGATTACTTTGATCCATGTTCTTCTTCTTTAAACAATGACGTACGTTACAACCTAATCTAATCGATATAAAAAGTACTAACAAGATAAAATCAATTGGGGCATAGAAGAGGGTAAATTTACCTGCAAATTGCCACTGTTACACTATATGAAGTGTGGGCAATTAGGTTCAAGTATAATGACCGCCTCCAATCTACAATCATTGAGCTCTCTCCAACTAAATCATCCAACTATCAAAAAAAAAATATGACAAACATCACTCTAGCAATTTAACTTAAATCCACATCAAGAATAACTCTTTTGATTGCTAACATCTAAGCACAAAGTACATGAGGTCATTTCAAACAAATAGTATATATTATGCCCAATCGAAATAACACACCAAAGTCTACTATTAAAACCTACCAAAACAAGTTCAAACCAAAACAAGTTCAAACCAAACCAAACCAAACGAACCTGGTATATCCCACCTGGGGTGGGGTCTAGTGAGTGTAAGATGACACAAACATGACCTCTACCCCAAGAGTAAAGTGATGGTTTCCGTGAAGACCCCAACTAAGGAATGATAAGGATTTGAAAAGCTGGTTAAGAGAAAGCAAAAACATACAAAAAGAAGCAGGTATAAGAAAAACATAACCAGTATAAGGAAACTACACACCGCTACTATTAGTATAGCCAATAAGCCACAAGTAAACAACTGGGTATCATGGAGAAAAACTCAAGCATTTACATAGGAGTATCATCGACATAACCAATATGCCACAAGAATATATCAACTAGCTTTTAACAAACAAGAAGCATTTACATAAGCATCTACATAAAAAATCACAATTAAACAACAGGGTATCATGGAGAATAACTCATGGCTCAAAAATGTATGTTTACCTAAAAAGTATAAAGGTACAAGTCCAACTAACTTGGAACATAATCTCATCAGTTGCAAAGCCTGAACAAGTATCGTTGCTTTATTTACCTTCACAGCCCACCTGCGAACAAAGTAAGGAGCGTTTCCCTCCAAATTATCATTGCCATGCTGATGCAAGCTCTGAAACCGAAAGACATAGCATCATGGGAAAGTAAAGCATTTCTATTCGCATTGGACTGCATGAGGTTGAGGGAATACCATTTTTTTAACAAAGAATAAGAGATCGTCATCCTGCTGGTCCTTCGACTCCCTCCCACCAATAAAATACAAATCCATAACGTCATGCCAAAACCTTTGATCCATTTCAACGTCGGAAGCATCTTGTTCATCTACTATAGTTCTCCCTATTAAGTTCGAATGTTTCTTCACCATACTCAGCAATTCATAGCTAAAAGATAAACACAGCTTATCAGTAATGTGCAATGTCAGCATTTTAGATATCAAAATGTTAAAAACAAATGCAACCATTAAATCCTGCAACTCTATTAAAATACTTAACTCATGATTTCCTTACAAGAACCAGTCAAGTTTTATACTTTTTAAATCCAACTAAATATGAGATTTACCTGGTGCATATGCTATTTATTTTTTAACTCTTGTTTTGTCACAACACATGAAGATATGATCAAGCTCTCAACCTTGTAACCAGAAAGGCATGGCCAGCTTTCATGCAGGTAAAGCCATCCCACTGTTAGGGGCTGTATGGTTGGTTTTTCATTAAGTCATGTATGGATAAACTTGTCTTTGTGGATTAATCTGTCCGTATAGATTGAGAAGGTGTTTGTTTGGGAGGGTTTTTCATAGATGAAAGAAAGGAGCGTGTAGATTTGGAGGGACAGGTCTGAAAAAAGACTTGACAATCTGCATAAGGCTCTCCCCTTGAAGCTTTGAATAAGCCACTTTTTATATCTTTAAGCCACCACCAAACAATCATGCATAACTGACCAAATAATCTGTGAGTCTCACTAAGCTCATTAAGCTTCTAACAAACAGGCCCTCAGAGTTCTCTTTTGATTATGAAAATGCCAACTTTGATGCTTGTAGTTTTAACTCAAAAGGCTTACAGCTGCAATTCTAACTTCAATAAACCAATGTAGCTAGCATTTCTTTCACTATTAACCGAAAGAAATCTTATAAATTTTCAAGTAAAAACTTATCCGTCTGACTTTGAAAGTCAAAAGTTAACTCTAATTTTGGGACAAAGGATGATTTAGTGTAGAATAGTTACCTGTTATTTCTATAGAACAAACTAATTAAAAATTACTGACTTACCAGGTTTGGAGGGTGTCTTAAATGTTCATCAACAGGACTTTCATTAATAACAATAAAAAATAACAGTACATACTTTGTTTTCAGCCCATGCAGCTGTGATCACAAGGATCTTGGAGGCATTCCACAAATGTAAACTACTTGAGTTGTCAAAACTTGATTCTAAGTTGATATAAGCTCAGTTTAAACATAAAAACACATATAAGCAACAATCGAGATCCATGAACCGTGGGTTGAAGGGAATAATGAATGAATTGTTTGCTTACCGAGAAGGGGATTCCCCCCCATCACCGAGCATCTTTCGCTCTTGTTGACTGAACTGTCTACAAAGTTCATAAATATAATGATCAATTCAATCTTGGTTTAACGAGGAAAAACAAAAATTGGCATAAATCATGGGAATCAGAAGAAGAAAAGGATAACGACAACAACATAAAAAGTGTGAATTTCAGAAATCGTTTTAGGAAAATTTCAAAATCTTCAAATCCAGATAGAACCCTAAACGTGCTCCCATGAATCAATTATATATAGAGAAAAATTCTATCGAGTATTTTGAGAATGTAAATGGGGTATGATTATCTGTTCACTGATCAAGAACAACGAGTATTTCATAGCACCAAAACCCCAGAAACAAAAACAAAAAGAATTAGGTATACTTTAATTCCACAAGAAATCAAAAACTTATACAAACCACAGATCAAACTACGGTCTAATCAATTAGAAGAACGAAAAAAAATGGATCAAAAGGGAGAGATGTACAGAAATAACCAATGTGATGAACAAATGATTCCAGCAATAACGTTTATATCTGCAGGTAATAGAACAAATACACAAATGAATCCCCAACCATACAGATAACAAATACACCGATAGACGATCGACGTACCTGAATACCGAGAGATATCCACCGAGGTCGACAGTGGAGGAGGCGATACCGAACGAACTAAGGAGACAGAGAGACGTTGCGATGGTGTTTTGTAGTGACAGAGGGTTTTGTTTTTGGTTCCGAGCGACGTTACAGAGGGCCTTGAAATCAGGTCCTGTGGGTGTTTTGTACGAACGCAAGATAACAACCTTAAAGATAATCTACCTTCTTAATTACAATGGATCTTTCTAATTAATTATCTAACTAATCAACGGTGATCCATCAACGTTAAATAACTTAATCCGATGTTTAATCATGTTTTTAAAACGTAAGTATTAAATTGATATTGGGTTATTTTTATTTGAACTCGACCCAACTTGATGAACATGATTTTTTTTTCTTGTATTTAATATGATTGTTGATTTTCTGTTAATATGTACATCAGACAATTAGATCATTATGTACCCTCTTCATATACATATATTTTCAATTTATTCTTCGTTTATATATAACTCCTTTATATATAGAGAGAGAGATGTGAGTTATTATGCAACTTTTTATATTTGTACAACTAATACAACTCAATATCAACCGTCCATTTAATTTGATTAATTTGATTGTTTCGTAATATAAAGTATGATCATAATTAATAAACTCTAGTCATCTTTCATAAATATTCAAATCATAATAAATGAACTCTAATTATTTCCATAAATGTCTCAATTAATGAGTTTGCATTGGTTGTACAAATAGACATGGTTGCATTTGAAAATATACCATATATATATATATATATATGTGTGTGTGTGTGTGTGTGCCCGCACGATTGAGATTATTAATTGAATGTGATATACTTAAGATTTAAGAAGTATGAAAAAGTTATACCAAATGATTGATACTGAAAATGAAATTATAAGTAGACTAGAAAAACAATATATTAAAGGTTAGGAGAATATTTTGATGTACAAAAATATCAATCCAACCAACTCGTATGGTTTTGGTTGGATTGTGTTGCACTTTGATTTGGGTTGGGTTGGTTTGAGATTTTTCAAATCGCAGGCATTGAGTTGGGTTTGTCAAATGCCTTCAACCCAACCCATGAGCACCCTGATTACCGGTAAGAGTAAACACCTTTATTTGACTGGCAGGATATGTCTTTAGTCCGATAAAATGGCATCATATGAAACATTTTTATCTGGTAAACGGTTATCAGGTAAAAATCACCACCTCACTTACCGGATAAGACTATCTGTCCTTGTTATCGTTCTTACCATGTATGATTATCGATCATTTTCATGTTTAGGGGTGTAAATGAGTCGAACTTTTAACGAGCTCGAGCTTTGTAATGTCGAGCTCAAGTTGATCTTGAACACAAAGTATAACTCGTTTAACTTTACAAGTCGACAACCAATGTTTGACTAAACTCGTTCGAAAACTCAATTAAAGTTTTTGAGTTGAGTCGATCCATTCGAGCGTATACCTTTTTTGAGCCATACATGGTCATATAATGATAATTAATAATACAATAAAAATATAAAAATCATCAACCTCGAGCCAATAAACAAGTTAATCAATCGCCAGTACGAGCCAATAAACGTGCATCGAGCTCAAGATCGATAACTCAAAAAATATTCGAGCTCGAGCCCTACATTGAAAAAATTATTCGAGCTTGAGCCTCGTATAAATTTTTCGAGCTTGAGCCTCGTATAAATTTTTCGAGCTGAGTTCAAATAACCTACTACAATTTAATCAAAACTCTTACAATATAACCTTATGTATTTATAGGAGTAGTACAAGAATGAACAGTGAATTGTAGGTTAACTAAAACATAGCCAACGGTGAACCAGACCGTCCAAAGCTACCACGAAGTGCTCGGGTTCGAGTAGTCTTTTTTTTCATCGAACCCATCTCTTTATCGGATCTCCTACCAGTTTTATTCGCAAAAACCATTGAGTTTTTACGGACGTCCGTGAGTTCATCCTTATTGGCACCTCCATTGATGAGGATTCTCGTAATTCCTGCATAATTTAACGAGTCCGCTATTTGCATTGCTGTCACACCCTTGTTCGTTCTTGCTTTCACGTCCGCACCTTTCTTTACCAGCAGTTCAAGCACGTCGGCATTTCCCGATTCGACTGCACAGTGAAGAGAAGTGTATCCTTCTTCATCCTTTGCGTCAATATGGACACCCTTTTCGATCAAGAGCCGAACCATGTCCGTGTGGCCCTTGAACGCGGCTCGGTGCAAGATCGTCCATCCGTGCTGGTCCAGCCCGTTGATGGCGGCCCCGCCTTCAAGAAGCTGAATGATGGTTCTTGATTCCCCTTTTCTTGCAGCTACGCACAAGGCGTCACCAAGCCGGAGTGCATCAAAGAGACGTGTGTGTCCGTACTCGGCCGCCACATCGTAAGCGGTTTTTCCGGATCGGTTTCGAATGTCTTTGTTAGCTCCCTTTTGTAATAGAAGCTTGACCATCTTGTCATCCCCAAGGGCTGCAGCTATATGCAATGGGGTCTCATTCTCGGCGGAGTTTCCGATATCCGGCTGTGCTCCGCCGGTCAACAGTAGTCGAGCACAGTCCCGTCTCCTCTCCTCCACTGCCAGGTGTAAAGCGGTTTTCCCATCTCTTGTCATCGCGTTAATCTGAGCTCCTCTGAGTAAAAGGAGCTTCAGAACGTCCAGATGGCCTGCTCTGGCAGCAAGGTGGATCGGGCCCCACGTGAATGACTCTGACCTCTCCGTGTTGGCTCGATGAGCTAGTAACAGCTCCACAATCAAGCTTTCACCTGAGGCCGCCGCATCCTCAAGTGGAGTCGACCCTGACCGGCTTCGAGCCTCCACATCTGGCTCGAACTCTAGTAACACCTGCAGTAGGTCAGCTCGGCTTTGCGAGATCGCCAAGTGAAGCAACGTTTGACCTTCCGAATCAACCGAATCAGCCGCCTTCCAATCCGGATCGCTCTTCTCCAAAACATCCCGTATTTCATCCATCGACCCATTCTTGACAAGCTGAGCCATCACCATTGAGCCAACAAACATGACCCTAATACCGCTATCAACAAACACTTGTTTTTTCCGTGTCGTAAACCAATCGCTCGGAACCGAATCATACGTGGAGGTCGGGTTCTTAACCACGGCTCCAGGAACCACCAAACTATGCAACAAGAACGAATCATCACAGTACGGAACCGACCCAGGGAGACTTGAATTCGGAGGGAAGTCGTAAATGATCTCGACAACAACGGTTGTTAGCGGAGATATAATCCCCGATTGTGGACGGATAGTGTAACGAGCTTTGTTCATCGGCTGTAGACGGAAAGCTACGGGCATGGTGTACATAACGTTTCTCAAAGTCACCTCACCATAACACTTTTGACCTTGTTCGATCCGAATTGCAACCACATTTGATGGCTCTAAGCTTATCAACCTGTCCATGATTTGTTGCCGCTACTGGTATCGTTACTGATACTGATACCGATACCGATACCGATACTGATTATTCGATTATCGAACCGGCCTCTCTTTCGTGGGTTGTTTTTGTAGGAAAACAAAAACCCATATAGAGAAAAAAAAGGATTTGAGGAATAAAGTTGGATTGGGGTATAAATAAATAAAAAGGAAGGTTGCCGGCGTATCATTAGCGACTTCCAAACTCTGGTGTTGATAACAATGCTGAATTGTTGTATTACGCGTACCTCTTCCCCAATGTCGCTTTCATCCATGTGTATTATATATCATCATGATAACCGGTTAATGCTTCAACTGGTTATTCGGGTATTTAAATGTTTAAAACTTTACATCTTAAGTATCAAAATGGAAAGTTTAAAAGTACGTTAATCAAAACTAGAAGGATACTCGTGCAATACAGCGAGATACATCTCGATTTTAATGTTCTATTTTATTCTTTGTTTCTGTCGATGTTATAATACGATTTTATATGTTTTTAAGAAAACAATAATGTTTTTATTTTTGAATAAAATGTAATTTTGGATATATCATAAAAATTTGAAAAAAAAAATATATCAATGTTAATATCAAATCAACTATTTAAAAATTCTCAATTTTATGTAATTTCTTTAATTTATTTCTTTTATTATAATTTAATTTAAGTTTAATAACGAAATACTTTATTTTTGGTTTAATAATATAATATTTTATAAAGATAATAATTAACTATTCTGTTAAAACTCAATGATTATCCTAATTATATTTAGATTTTTTATATATAAAATGAGATGTTTATCATGTATTTGATTATGTTTATCTGCAGTTAGTTACACGAATCCAGATATAGAGCTTTAATAAGTTGTATTTACGCACAATCTACTTGTAATCTTGAGTTTTAAGTAACATGCATTAATAAACTGTACTTTATGCATAAAAGATAGTTTTTGTCAAACGCTTTATAATATAGTATAAATAGGAATCAAGTTAAAATACGTTACTTTTTCATGCAATTTGCCCTAAATTTATATTTTATTTTTGATAATTTGTATTCATGTGACTGATATTTTTTACCTTTTGAACCAAGCTCAAACCAATCAAGCACCACCCTTGTGGTTTATATTTCACAAGTTGCGAAAGAGACATTTGCAAAATCTTGTCTATTTTGGTTCAAACATGAAAATCTTGGCAACAAAAAAAATGGTCAATTTCCCTATAAAGTTTCATTTGCTTTGGCTTCATTAAACAACGTTATAGACATTTAAATGCTATTTGGTTAGAGGTATTAAGCAGTAATCAATGTGAATGAAGATAAAAGAAACCGTTTAGTTTTCTATAATATAATGAACTCATTCCTCCATAAGCTCAAAATCTCATTCCTGGTTAAACTGGACGGAATGAAAATTCACTCTCTGTCATTCTCATTTTCATTTTCATTCTTCAGCATTAGCCAAACAGACCCTCAGTCTGTGGCTAAACTGTATAATTTTTTTATACAAAAAGAAGTACAGTGTCTCATTAAAAAGAAGCGCCAATTTAGGAATAAAGATCAGTATACGGTATTTGTTTTTTACGTAATTTTTCATTAAATTTTTTCGATTAAACGAGTGTGGTTTTTGGAGTCTGAAAGCTTTGTTTGGCGAATCAAAGTGACAAAAGTGGGATCAAAAGATGGGTTAAACCCAGGGTATATATTGCTCTAATTCTTGTTACAGAATTTTGAGACAATTGTCTTATATGTGATGTTGTTTCGATACTAGTTCAAAATGTTCACGTCAATATAGGGACTAAATTAGTCAACTTCTGCAAAGTAGAGGGTCCTCATTGCTCAATTTTGTGTCACTTTGGAATTATAACGTTGTTGTTTTATATTGACAAAGGGACACAATATTGTTGTATGCTCATGATTTTTTTAAGTGGCATAAAAAGTGCCGATTATATAGTTATATATTTTAACTTGTGGTGCCTTTATTATTATTATTATTATTATTTTATTAATCTGGATATCTAATTTGTTATGTGAGCCAACTAATCCCATGACGACTACCTACTTTGCAGATAGCCCGGAGTCACCGCAGTTGAACCTCCGTGGCCACAATGGGATTTTTATTTCTTCTTGGTTTTGAACTTGAGGCCTCCTGTTACTTTTGATCAATGGAGCCAAACTCAAACCAATCAGGCACCACCCTTGTGGTTTGGTTTTATAACCTACTAGAAAAGTACTCGCACAATGTAGCGAGATACATCTCGATTTTAATGTTTTTTTTGTCTCAGTCGATGTAATGATATACTTGCAGGGAAGGAAAAACGAGCATTTTACGCTTTAGGAGCTACCGTTTCACTGACCAATGCTTAGGAGGTCTCTCTGTCCTCGCAGTGAGCAATGCCTAGGTGGGTGTCGCGGATGATTCCCCTATTCAACTACAATGGTGGTGTCTGATTGGTTTGACTGGCTCCAAAGGTCAAAAGTATCTGGAGGTCCCAGGTTCAAATCAAAGGAGGAATAAAAATCCTCTTGTGGACACAGACGTTCAAATGCGGTGACTCCGGGCTATTTGTAAAGCAGGTGATCGCCCTGTGATTAGTCGGTGCGCATAGCGGGCTGGATATCCAGGTTAATTAAAAAAAAATGATTTCCATCTTCTTTGTTAGATCAACGTTGTATATCAACAAATTATGGTTTCAGTCATCGAGTGAATCAGTAGATGCTTGCACGTGAGCAGCAATCCCTCCATCGGCATTTGTCTCGCCTGCTGGAAAGCTTGACTTGGCTATTGAAATCTGCAGCGAACAAACGTACGCTCGCTTGTTGTCTTGTTCTCTGTCACGAACTGGGATCACTTCTGGCTCGCTTAGCCCTAGCTCGAAATAACCAACTCACTTCGCCTACGCTACGAAGAGAAGTAGTTTACTTGCTTAGCGGTTTTTATGTGGTTTTTGAGAAAGCTTAATGTTTTTATTTTTTAATAAAATATAAATATGAACATATAATACATAATTGGAAAAAAAAAATGATATTAATACCAAACTAACTATTTAAAATTTCTCTATTTTTGTGTATTTCTTTAATTCATTTTTTTTTATAAAAATAATAATTAAATATTCTGTTAGAAATCAATGACTATCCTAATTGTATTTTAGATTTTTTATATCTAAAATGAGATGTTTATCTCTATTTAATTATATTTATCTGCAGTTAGTTACATTAATTTAAACATAAAACTTTAATAAGTTGTACTTACGTATAATTTACTTTTAATCTTGAATTTTAAGTAATATGTATCAATAAATAGTATTTCATGCATACAAGAAAATAGTTTTTAAGAGATTTTGTCAAATTCTTTATAATATAGTATAAATAAAATTGTGACATCTTTGAGAATAAGCGTACAACTAAAAGATTTCATATATTGAATCAAATACATATGAAACAAACACATGGTATCAAAAATTATATATTAATCAATATATTAAATTATAGACTTAGACCCTGTTTGTTTTTACCTAAAAAACACTTAATACCCTCTTATGTCTAAATTGGTCAGACCTTAGGGTATTAAGTGTGTTTGTTTTTTTTTTTTTTCAATTAAGAGCTTAAAAGCTCTGATTATGTCTGAATTATTTAGAGGTAACATTTTCACTTAAAACCTCTTAATTGCTTTTAGAGCTTCCAATGCTTGCAAAGAAAGCCTAGATTTCAATGATTCAGATTTCAGATTTCAGACGTAAAAACAAACAGTCTGACTGATTCAGATTTCAGACTTCAGTACCACCTCTTAAAATTCAGAAGTGAATTCAGACTTCAGACTTAAGCACCTCTTAAAAAACAAACGCCACCTTAGATGAAAAAATTCATATGAAACAATACCTTAAGATAATAATTCTCAAAATCTATATATCTGCATTAGTTATACTATTGATTAGATAATTAAATTGCAATAAAATAAATGGTGAGAAAAAACGGTATAAAAGATAAATTGTTAATATTTCAATCATATTTGATAATTTTATTAAAAAACCAAAATACATAAAGGACGTGAGAGAATAATGTCAAAAAAATTCGTCATTGTCGAAACGACACGTGTCACTTTATCATTGGTTTTAGGTAATCGACAAAAAAATCACAATTTGACAAAAAAATCGCCAAAGTCGAATTTCCTTTGATGATTTGGCTTATTCCAATTTTGTATTTTGGGTGAAATTTTGTAACTGAAATTGTATTTTTTTTATTAGTCTGGATATCCAACCCGTTATACGAGCTGACTAATTTTTGTATTATTGAAATTGTATGCTTGTGTACCCATACAATATTAATTACAAAAAATGTAAATTATTATTATTTTTATTATGATTTTAATTTAAGAAATTTATTTTCAAAAACTTTATTTTAGTGTTTACGACACATCTTCAAACAAGGTAGGGGTTTTAAACACTGGTATTTTACGAAATGGGAGAACATTTTTAGGTCTCCAAATTATTTTAACCGATAATAAAATTCAGGGTAGAGGTGATAATTTGCGGTCCTGGCCTAACTTGTTTTTTTTATCCAACGGACATAATATTGTAAAACCCAAGTCTTTTTTGCGGGCTTGGCAACTTGTCAATGCCCGCCCTATAAACTGGTCGGACTTGCCCACGGCCCACGGGCTAATGGGCCTAAAACTTTAACTCTTATAAATCTATAAATTTGATCACTAACAATTAATTAACAAATGTAGAATAAAAAAACAAAAAAAAACATCATTGCAATTAAAATTTTAAGCAACTAAAATGACACATGGATCTCAACAAATGGAGAAAGAAATGAAAAACAAACAACCCCTCAGCCTTTTGAGTTCTCAACAATAACCAAAGAGTCTCGTCCTATGACTTTAATAATTAAATTTTAAAATATACTAATTTAATTTTAATTAACGATAAAAAATATTAATTTATCTAATATAAACGGGTTGGACGGACCTATCCATATTTATTTTTACATTGTCCATGTC